CAGCTGCAGACCCACACACACACCTGTTCATCTCTACCAGGAGAGCAAGGAACTGCAGAGCCCTGCTGGCTTCCAATTGAAGAGAGTGGAATGCATGCCAAACCAGGGAGGGGCCTCCCCATGAGGAAGCTGGAGCTCTGTGTGGGGACAGGACCCTGCCTCTGGGCTGTGGTGCCCAATCAAAAGCCAAGCAACAAAAGGGCTCCGCCTTCTAGAATCCCTTCAGGCTGAGCTGAGGCTGGGTCCTGCTCTGCAGTCGCCACAGGCTCTCATGACATGGAAAGGCTGGGATGCTGAGGGACATCAGGTGGCAGACAGGTGAGGTTGAAAGGGCACAGAGGGCTGCAGGAAAGCGGGAAGTGCACAAATGAAGACCAAGGAATTTAGCAGGGATGGCTGGGCCAGCTCTCAGGTTAGGAAGAGAGAGCTCCAAAGGACTCCACAGAGGAAGGCAGCCAAGACCAAGGTCACTCCCTGAAGGACCAAGGTCAGGGAAGGACCAAGGTCGCTCCCTGAAGGACCAAGGTCACAGAAGCACAGAGCCTTATCCTGTGGGTGCAATGGGGGTCCTGGGGGAGGCGGGGAGACCACCTGTCGTGGAAACCACATTTAATCAGGCAGAGCCGGAAAGCCGGAGCTGAGGAAGGTGGCTGGCCAAGAGGCCAGGACCTCGGGGACACTATGCAGGACCAGTGTGAAGAGCCCATCCGGGCACCTCGCAGCAGACTCCAGAGACCCCCGAGTGACCAGGCAAAGGACCATGCATAACACCCCCTTGGCCCTCCAGGGCTGTGCAGACCCGGGGTCACAGCTGTCCTGCTTGCACCTCTGCCTGATGAATGGAGTCCTCCCCAGGCCATCCACTCAAACCTGGGAGGACCCCCATCTCAGGGCCTTTCCAAAAGGCCCCGACCACACCCGACCCACCTGACCTGGTAACCTGGGCTCCAGGTGCCAGGCGCAGCAGCTGTCACCTGCTGCAGTCTGCGCCCAGCCACACCCCTCTGCCTGGGGAGCTGGGCCCAGGACATTTCCCAGCTGTGGGTGGGTTTCTGGTGACCACGCCCACCTGCCCTCTCTCCCCCTGAGGTGGGGATGAGGCTGCTCCCCAAGCCTGGGCAGTTCTCCCCACCTCAGCTCCCCCTGGAGACCGTGCGCCCCAGCCCCCTGCGCTCTCCCAAGGAGCCCACCACTCACCTGAGCTCTCCCTGGAGGCCTTGTCACAGAGGTCCTTCCTGTGGATCTTG